CCATGGGGGCGTTATAATGTGACCGTCAATCACACTATTCGTTGGTAAAAGAGTAGCCCAAGAGTTGGCGGTGGGTGGTGATGACTAGCTGCCTTCCCTCTAGTCTTACACTGCTAAATTAGAGACGGCTAGCGCAGATAGCCCTCGTGTAGCTTTGCGCGAAATTCAAAACAAACAAAACTCAGGCATCCTTATGTAATTTTAACAATAGAACGTTCTTCAAAAAATGTGGCTATGTTTCTTTCTTTCTAGTTATTCACTCCTCTAAGGTGTCACATGTGCTTTCTCATGGGAAAGATTACTTACACTATGTAAGGGTGGCCAGCGATATTTTCCACTAGTAGGCCACGAGATACCTGGAGAATATAATCTCCCTTATGTTGATTTCTATTCTATTGGAATGGCCATCAGTGGCGTAGATAACACAAGCGCACTGAGAGGGATGGTGTTTCAGAACCATGTATATAATACTCAACAGATACACCACATGTCTAAGTCAGTAAAAAGCGCTGTACTTCGTCCAGTTCACTCGGCAGCTTGATTGTTTTTAACACATAAAGATAGTTTTTTTAATTATATTTAGTCTATTTCTTCACACACACACAGTAAACGTCGGAATTCAGATTTATTCTGTGATACAATTCCTGAGCGAACCTCCTGTTATCTGCGGAATGTACCTGAAAAATGTGTCTAAGTACATAAGAATATAACCAAGAAAAAAAATGAAGAAAATGTTACTATAGGTATGTTTGTTTGTTGTTGATCACAAAGATGTACAATTGGCTTTCTATGCTGTACCAAATGCAGAGATCAAAAGTCGAATTTTAGCGTTATAAGCCTTCAAGCCTAGTGGCGAGCCCAAGGAGGGCGTGGATGTATAAAAGTATGGTTGTCTGTTATCATTTCTTACTTTCATGCTTAGTAATACGTATATGAATGAAATACATTTACAGTAGAGTTGCAACTGATCTAATTCATAGATTTAGAGTAAAGGAAGATAAGAGAAATGTATTAATCTCCTGAAAATAAACGATAGTTCTGTGGCTTTGTTGGTTGAAACGCCTCTTTGATAAACAGGGGCTCTTGGGTTCCAGTTCCTCTGCTGCCTGATATCATATCAAATTATATAACATCCGTTTTTTTATTATAAAATCGCATAAATAATGAAATAAGCTAAGGTGTCACATGAGCTTTCTCGTGGGATAAACATAAAGTAGTATACACTATGCGAAGGCAAACAGAGATCTTGTCCATTGGCATGTCACGTGATACCTGGAGGTCAGATACATGTTAAAATAGCCTAAAACAAATGATCCTTTCATTTTTAGTTAAATTCCAAACAAAAAGAATTACTTGACGTAAATAACAATACCCCTTGCAAGTTCTTGAACTACTCTTATTTGACCGTAGATAACAACGCCCATTTCCAGCTCTTGGATTACACTTACTTGACCGAATATTGGGATTTGACTGTCACTCTCATAGCATATCCACAATCATATAATATGTAATATATTTTTTGGCAACAGTACACAAACCACGAATTTTCGGAATCATAGTCCGGACAATTTAATTAGTAAACTATTTCCGGCCCTCACAGATGAAGGACAGTGAAACCATAGCAGCTAAGAGTGTGTGTAATTACAAGTTAACCAAGTAAAGTTTTAAATATTTATTTTAGCTTGCAATTTACAAGTATTACTTACAAATATCTTGGTCGTTAACTAAAGAAAAAAAACAAACCTTACTTTAATCTATCACGTATTTTGTTTCCTTTTCTATTACTGTACATGATCTGTTTGCTTTAAAACACATACGGGTAGTAAATTATTTGTGTAAAATTTCTCGTACACAGTACTGATCATTTAGAATGTTATTATATAAATAGTTATAAATGTTACTTCAAATTATCAACATTTGAAGAAATCTATATACTACTAAAACTATGAGATTGTTTGTGTATTTGCTTGACTGTAATTAAATACAACCAAAACGGCGCATAATAGCACCATATTTGTAATGAGATGAGAATAAAAATGAAAATAGAAACAGAATAAAACAAATTTCGTTAAAATCGGGCCATGGGTTACCAAGTTAGCCCCGTTTTTCGGGTCACTTTTATGAAAATTGCTAGATGAATTTATGCACAATAGATGGCGCCACATATCGGTTTATCTATCTATCTATTCGTTTTCGACCTAATGAATCACTTTAAAATATATCTTATACAACAAAATATGCACAACAGAAATTAAATGATGAGATGAAAATGTGTTATAACGGCGCGTAGAAAGGACAACAATAAAATGGACTTACAATATTATTGACTATTTGCAAATGTAACTATGGAGACGAGGTAATAAAATATAAAGCAAGTCGAGAACAACAAAA